GAATCAAGACTTAGGATCATGTTCCACAAAAGTGCCATTTTATTATAAAAATTTCCGAGATCTCACTCTAGATCTCTAACAGCTACCTAGTTTTTTCATTTCATATCTAAGTAGCACTGTTAACCTAAATGGGATTACAAGAACGTGTTTGCTTATTATTTTGAATAAGTCTGCGAAGGGTTAGGGCTACCAATAGCTTACTTCCAAAAATGTAACTGCTCAACCAGTCATAAAGCACATTTTCTTAGTACTAACATTTTACAAGAGTCACAGTTGATACAAGATGTGATTTTCAGAACAAATCGCCATTTAAAAAAATAATTCAGTGTTTACTTTTGAATAAACTGTCCCTATGTCTCACATGTTAGTCTTTTATTCTAAAACACTGGGCATAAGGGCTGGTTATTTTGCAAACATAAGATATCAGTTTTGATGTATAAACGTCATGGTGACTAACAAAACAGAACTCCTCAAAATTCTTGGGTTTATGAGAGCTTCAACAAAACAATTTCTATTTTCCTAACAGCCACAGATGTTAAGGACACCAAATACTTTTGGTGGAAAAGGGAGAGCAAGCTAAGGACAAGACCCTTCCTGTTACAGTAAATGTGTCAGAATAGAGGTCTGTTACCAAATAAAATACTTTTAAGCCTATACTTCCCCAGAACTCCATAATGACTAATTCCCACTGAACAGAGAAAAGGACAGGACCATCACTGCTTAGAAAAAAACATCAGGATGACATCATTGCCTGTCTGCTAGCCAGGAAAGGAAGAGAGGGATTATCTGAATAGTGAACATCTGGATTGTGTATATAAAGGCAATGAAGGATTTTTATACATATTAGTTCACTGAGTTCCACCGAATTTTTATCTTACAAAGAAACGGTAGTGTTACGATACGCTTTTATAATGAAAAACCAACAGCAATTCCAGTGGTCTGGGTTAGTGTATTAAAAGATACACAAACAGATTTATCATTCACTGCTCCTTTACTATATTTAATTGAAAAATCTGGCAGATATTTGAACTTATAACTCCTTCCTTTAGAGTTAAAACAATGTCATTTGGTAACACTGGTTTTCTTCTTTCTGTTAGGGTTTCAGATACAAAGATTCCAAGTGACATGATTCTGATCACACTGAAGTTCAAAATATATTCCGTTCCACATCCCAATGATGTAAAGACTGCTTACAAAAAATGTTACATGTGAAGTGCTTCAACTTAACAGAACTGAAACCAAGTTCATATTTTCTCATTTCTCTTTATAACACAGCACAGAGTTCCTGCATAAGTCACAACTCTAATAGTTGTGTGTAGACTCAACTAGTCTGCGCACAGCAATTCTATACAGTTACCATGCAAAAAAGATCAATTTCATTCTAGATTGGTATACTATGCAAAGAAACATTCTTACCTTGAACCGTTAGTGTTGCTGATGCCTCAGCTTTTCCAACCATATTTTCTGCAACACAAGTATATGAGCCCATGTCTCCTGCCGTAACTTTCCTGATTTTCAAGGTATGATCATCACGGATTTCGTACCTTTAGATACACACAGTAATAGACAATGAATAGGTATAATAGAACTTTGTACAGTTTCTGCAAAGTGTAAAAATATGGTGGGTTTGCTCTCAAATATTTTAATTTCTACATTTCCCTTAGAAATAAAACCAAACAAATCCTTATAATTCGATGATGTAAAAATAAAAGTTTAAAAAGCAAAATATATTTAGATATTTGAAAACCGTATTCTGATTTCCTTCTCAATGTGAGTCGGTTTTACTGACATTAGTAGACTGGCATAATACAATCGTAAAGCTCTAACGCAGAATGTTTTAATTGTTAGAACTCTTTTAACAAGTAAATATAATAGTTATTATTCTCCTTACAGTTTTTCCATCTGAATAAAGGGCATCTGTAATATGGTTGAAAAGAAAATAGTGTTCTCAAGATCAGAATTGCTTGAAAGTCAAGATAAATCACAACTCATTCTATAATTTTTTAAAAACATTAACGTGGCCTTTTACCATTTACTCTCCTTTCATCACCTTTTTTCTCTTCTTAGTATAATGCAGTCAATGTGTTTCTCTTTATGGGAAGTAGATTTTTCTCTTAGAAATACTACAATTTTTATAACAGCTATAGACTAGATTACCAGGAGGCTAGATTTGGATGGCCGGAGCCCACTGTTATAGGATTTTTTCATTCACCCCTCCCCTAATAGGTTTTTAGTTGGTAATTGGGAATTCTAAGTAAATAAATAAATACTATTTCTATCACAGAATGTTATTTTTTTTAATAAGGTGTTTTTACTTTTTGGCCTGAATTAGAGCAATAATAGAAAAATAAAGTTATTGGAAGCTTAGCAACAAAACCACGGCAGCTTTCTACGTTACCAGACTACATTTTGGATCAATTGCAATTCCAATATGTATTTTTTGATGTTGTAATTGACTTTGCTACTTGTTATACACTCTCCAAAATTTCTAGTAATTACAAAAGGCTCCTTAGGTGAAAAATCAATCTGTAACAAATATTAGTGACTGAGCTTAGTTATTTTTTGTTGTATTTGTCATGTGTTGTCACAACAAAAGCTTGAGAACAAGCTGTTCTTAAGTTTCAATATAAATCATAACTTCAATTAGAGCTCTAATTTCTAATGGTAATTAGAAATGTCTTGCTAGACCAAGCCAGGCCTTCTCCATTCAAGAAAAGGAAGTGCCAGCTGTCAAATGTTGAATGGCTACATTGTATATCAAGCTAGATGTCATAAAAAACGTAACTCAGTGTACTGCACCTTGCTTTTGGTAATTCCCCATCATCTTTCCTCCATCTTACTGTAGGGACTGGGTCACCTCTTGCCTCACACTTAAACTCTGCACTATCATCCACAGTTACAGCCAAATTACTTGGTCTCTTCACGAAAGATGGTCTTTCTAAAAGGAAAGGAAAGAAAACCGGGATTAGTTCAGCAGTTCTGTGCCCAAATTGTGATTCTCCCTGAACCGTGGCTGTTAGAGGTAGGGGGAGCAGGGTGATGAATCTGATGGAGGTGCCTCTCCGCTGGTCCCTTTGCTCCCAGCCCAAGGAAGAAAATCCGTAGCCTCGCAGACGGCTAGCGCTACGAACACAGCACAGGAAGCAGACAGGGTCAGCAGTGGCTCAGGATGCAAACGGCGACTTCCCTACTTCTGTATCGCCATCTCAGCTCATACAGCTAAAGGAAAACACAACCCACACAGAAAATCCAAGGAGACACTGATGCTCAGATCCTGCTGCAAGGCCCCAGACAAACGACCACTCATCTGCTGCTCTGCTTCAAGAAGACAGAAGGCACAAACCAAACATTATCGCCCTGGAGGTTTTGCCTAATGGTGCCTCTACACTTGAAGGTCAGGTAAGGCTCAGCACACTATCTGTGAGGCCGCTTGCGGGTGTCAGCAGCAGGCAGTGTTTGATGCAATCACTTCCAACGTTGCCTTTCACTAGCGCATGTGAAATAAAACAAGTCAGAAAACCCTCACAGTGTCCTCTCTATAATTTTTGTTCATAAAAACTGCCGTTATCCCTGAGTCACACTGTAGGACATGGTGACCCAAGTCTTGGCTCACCAGAGTCAGGTTAATTGCTGAATACTTTTTCTCAGGCTGTCTGAAACAAGAGTATCTCCGTGCAGGCTGTGCTATTCTGGCAACCCAGCTGCTAGCTGGAAATTTCAGGAAAGGGATCGACACAATTTTCTACCTGTAACGGGGTTTGAAGCTTTAGGGTGCTGGGCTATTCCTAGTTCCGCAGTTCCACACCAGGCTTGAGTGCAGTGAGGGTTGCACACACACACAGAAGGGAAGTGTTTTTAGCAATTTCTGGGATACTCCAGGAAAGATTGATTACCCATCGAGAAAGGCAGCAGAGGATGAAAATACAATAGGATGTCCATACAAGGGCAGGGAAGGTTTAACAGGAGAGTGCTTGGCAGGTTCCATTGCCTGAGGCAGGTGACCTTTTTGCCTATAAACCTGTGAAAGCTCTGAGGGAGTTGAGAAGGCAGTTGCATGTTTCGACTTGTATATATTAAAGATATAAATATCATCACCCTGTAACTGGAAGAGTCTGAGGCCATTGGCACAATCTGGAAGTGTGAATACCCAAAAATAAGCCACAGATCTCTCACAGGAGTACAAAAGCACCAGACAGAAGGATAAAGAGAATCCCATATTCTTAGTGTCTCACATTTGTGCTTGAAAAAGGTGATTCTGAGTATTACTTGGACTTGGTAGATAAAGATATAGAGGTTCAGTATTATAAAACTTTTGAGAATGATTTAAAAAGGACTGAAGTGGAAATGTGAGCGGAACAAAACCCTATAAAAAACCTTCCTTTATTCTCAGGGATGTCCAGACCAACTGGAAACTTGTGTTGTAGAAAACTTACCTTTGCCTGCAGTGCCAGGCACATAAAGTTACATGAAATAGTAAGTTGGTCTTTAAGCTGTTAGTTCTAGCCTGGGTTCATACACAAGAAGTGAGAAATTAAACACAGATGTACAGACATGAATTTAGCTGTGAATTAAAAAAATACAAACAGACATTCCCTTGGCCCCTCTCTTGCAGGTGCAGTAATAACGCAATCTGAATGCAAGAAATGAACATTCCAGATTAAACTTCAGAGTAGGAATAGTTTGGGGAGAATATTCAACTTAATTATGCAAGAAAAAAAGGACTAATCTGGTAAGGCCAGGACTGCTGCACAACAGCAAAACCCACAAGAGGCACATTGTTCTCTAGATCTGTTTCCTAAAGGAAGAGTAACAGTCCAAGAGCTCTTGTCTGCCCATTCATAACCCTCTTATTCAAACGCATAAACAGATAAGGAATACGAGCACTGACTTAAGTATCTATCTTTGTCACACAATTATTTGGTACGTACAAGGAAAGCTTAGCAAGGATCACATTGAAACTTTCTAATATTACAGTTTCTGGCACGCAATCCTTCCTCTGATCTAAAGCAGAGACCTAAAAGCAGGTGTTCAACTTCTAAATGACCAAAACTCATAACCAGAAGATTTATGTTGAAAGATTTTAATATACTAAGTCAGCATGTTTCTCATGCTTTTTCATGCATATCTAAGGCCTGAGTTGAAAAAATAAGGTGTATTAAAGATTTCTAGACACAGACTAGTAAGACATTCAAAGCTTCACTGTCCTGTTTTAAAAGAAATGCTCACTAGTTTTCCCAGGCTGAAAATCAGAAATATGTTTGAAGGAAAAACGAGATAAAGAAAAAGGCAAAGACAGGCCTCTCTCTGCAATGTATCCATCTTACAGGTGCTCAGCAAGAGTAATACTTTCCAGCCTGGATTATGTAACAGTCCATACCATGATTCCTTGGTAAGTAGTAGACTAGTGATGAACAATTAGCTGGTATGGTTAACTAGGAGCCCAGTGTCAGGACTTTACTCATGTAACCACAACTTCAAATTCTAGATGTTGCTTGGAAGTCCTAGAAGTCTATTTGAAAATAAGCTTCCTCTCAAGGCACTTTAAAAGTGCCTATAAATTAAAAAAAAAAACCCAACCAACCAATGAAAAAAAACCCAAAAACAACAACAAAACCACCAAGAAAATAGTATGGTGGATCATAGGAAGTCTTCCTTAGCTTCTAAAAAGTTACAAACCATCTGCTGGTTATTCACAACTTTAAGATGGCATAAAACTGCATAATATTATGGAAATGCCTGCTTCAAAAAAACCCTATGAACAGGACTTCAAGTTACCTTAGTCCTAACTCTAAGAAGTAGTGAAAACAGATAAAAGTGCCAAAGACTGACAAGACAGCTCTTAAACCTGAATTAAAAAAACAAAACAAAACACCACAAAAAACCCCACACAACAAACAAAAAGCAAAACAAAACTAAGCACAAAAAAAGCCAGGACTACTGCACGAGCACTGTGATGGAAACCAGTTTTTTTCGGAAACATGGCTTGGATATTCTCATCCTGTGATGATAAAACAGCTTAATTGTTACTGCAGAAGAAATAGGTATCTCCAGCCTCCCCTACTTTGAAGTAACAAGGGACACATTTTGAATGAAAACTAACAAAGCTGCATCCACAGTGATCATAAGGCAACTCTCCCATGCTGAAGGAATTCTGAGACTGCACTTAGAGTTACAGCTTTTTTTCTGCAATAGCAACAACAAAAAAAAAAAGGAGTTTTCACCTAAGCCCAGTTATCTTAATTAAAACCACATTTTTCGATGTTTAGAGGTTCTATCACTAGGACCACTTCAACATGTAGACCTGTTGTATCTTTACACCACTCAGTATACACAACTGTAAATGAAAGAACAATTATTTAAGAAATTCCCATTTTCCTGAAAAAGAGGGAAAAATTAAGCCTCCATTTCTTGGTGATGTTAATTTTTGTTTTGCTATTATTTTACAATACTGATGCAGTCAGTGAACACTGAAATTATTTTCAGTTTGAGAACTAAGAAAGTGTCTTCTGATCGCAAAAACAGTCCAGGGTGGATCACAAAGCCATTAATTGCCACCCGCTTGCTAGAACACAACCACAACAAAAACGTTTTCAACATAAACACTGAACAGGAAATAAATGAGAATGATCCTAAAGAAAAGGCTTGCTAGGAAAAAAAAAAAAGTTGGACATTCTCATTAACACAGTCTTAGAGGAGGAGTTCTTACCTAAAACAGTGAGCTCCGCAACTTCACTTTCACGTTCTCCCACCATATTTGTTCCGACACAAACATATTTGCCAGCATCATTCTTTCTTGTGTATGTGATCATAAGCTTTCCTCCTCTGATCTAGGACAAATCAAGGATAATAAAATACAATTTAATGTGAACTAGCAATTTAATAGTTTTTATCTTGGAAAAGGTTTTGTTACAGATAATGAAACAAAACAAATCATCAGGGATTTTCTAAATCATACAAAAAAGTGAAAAAAAAATTGCTATTAACCTCATTTCCTTCTCATATGCAAAAGGCTTGCCTCTTAGTTTTACATCAGTATGTTAAAACCTCTCAGATTAGGACCCCTATTTACATTTTTCTTCATTCCGCGTAAAGCAATACTGGCTGTTCAACAGCCTGTTTAATGCTTGCTGGAGTACAATTCCTTCCTATGTACTACTGATATAATCAGGTGGAGAGTAAAAATCAGTTTGATATAATCAGGTGGAGAGTAAAAATTAGCACTAAGATGACACAAGTCCCATTTTCACATCAAGAACTACAATTACTTTTTCTTGACAAGAAATATGTGTACATGATGCTACCGCTGGTCATGCCTGTTATTATTCACGAATTTTGTGTTTGTTTTGGTTTTCATTTCTTAAGGAAGCAAAGGAAATTTTATATTCTTTAGTTCTTCACCTTTAAATAAGTAATTTTAAAGGCTGATAAGCAGCTGGGCAGAAGCAATTCAGTCCTTATTGGGAAATTAATAACATTCTGCTCTTAATTCTGAATTCAGTTTTTGGAAGATAATGGAATTCCAATAACCCCAAAACTAGAAAACTTACTTCCCTTTTGTGATTCCAAACCTTATTATTTTATATAAAAATCTATATTAAATGCATACAAAAATATCTTCCTTCAAAAGTATTTACTTTCCCATTAGATTGACAAAATATTTGAACAAGTTTCAAAGTTCACCCAAATGCAGCAGAATTTGTGTAGGCAGCTGAATACGTACCACGTTTACTTTAATATACAAAACCATTGCTGAACTACATTAATTACATTTTTAAGCGAACTTGTGCTTATGAGTCCAATCACATGCGAAAACCACTGCAGTTCAAGGCATGGAGGGAAGGACACAATCAATAAAAGCCACATATGAAGCTACATGAAAGGGTTTAATGTGGTCAGTGACAAGGAGAAGAGTGTTCTCAATATGAAGTATATTGCTCAAGGTGCCTGCAGCTAGAAATCTATCCCTGAAAATTTGACATCTTGAGCAGCGCTGGGCTCTTATTATCATTGTAAGATGTACGCAGACAGAGATGACAGTCAGTTATTGAGATAAATGAACATGTGTGTGTAACCCAGATAGTGTTGCATACAAATTTCATTCTTTTGCCTTTGGCGCTCGTTTGAGAACAGAAAAGATATGTCCTTTATCATCCAGAAATCTAGTAATGATGAAATTTCAATGGGGATTTGATGCATGAAGAATGAAAAAATAAAGGTGACCTGCAAATGCATATTTTCTAAGAATCTTTGTGCACTGTGGATTGTTGACCACCTGAACTAGTAAACATGAGAAGAGAATGTAAAATACAACTAGAAGTCTACCTGCATTTATTCCTGTTTTACCTCTCCCTAACTCACAGAAAGCCAGTTTTTTCCAATTAACCTATGCAAAGGAAATCTTTAAAAAAAAATTTAGAAATATTTCCAGATGCATTTTGGGGGATCTGTATATCCAGATACATACGCAGAAAAACATACTTTTCATGTATATCAATACTGAATGTGCTGGAATTAGCAAAGAAACGGATTGACGTACCACATGAGTTTACCAAGTCAGTTGATGATTTCGAATCTACATAAACTGAAAGCAGGAATTTTCATGTCTTAAGCTCTTAAGTCCTACCCACATTCAGTAGCATTCGTGCTCCTGATTTTAGCACTTAAGAAAATCCCATTCAAACCCATTACAATATGACACAACTCCATATTCTGCACAAATTGTAACCTGCAGCAAGAACTATCCTAGGAATCACCACAAGACTCTCTTCAAAGCATAGATGGAGAGAAGCATTAAAGCAGAAAAATTTCAACAAACTACAAAAATCATTGCAAGCTGCTTTTCTTCCAACTTATTTGAGATTTACATAATGAAGGAGAGGCAGAGGAAACATTCCCTCATGGACTTTGAGGTAGACTTCCAAAGACATGACATGCCTACTGAAGGAAGCTGTGCTTCCAAGACGGAATTCTGAATGAATCTGGTTTATTTTTCCTAGGGGTTTTCTTCTGCTGATCTTGTTTGGTTTTTTGTTTTCCTTAAAACAGAAGGAGAGTTTAGAACTTAGCTACAGTGATGGCTATGCCACATTGAATTGTGACGAATTACACAGTTATAATAAAATGTACCACAAGTGCATGTGGAATTACATATGTCTGTAACCAGAGCATTCACAGATGGCTAGAAGAAAGCGTACTTCCGCTATTGGGTCATTACCCAAGTTTTCCGCTAAATTTTAACAATTAGATACCCACCATCGCAGTAAGATTGATCAAGCCCTTCTATTTATTAACAAGACATTGCAATTCAAAGCTGTGTCTCTGACAAATTTATCTTTTCTATGGAAAGTTCTCCACCTTTTTTCTCAATAGGAAATCCTAGAAATACCTACGGACTGTAGACCAGTGGCTTTAAGTAACGAAGTAGACAGTGAAATACATCCATGTGAGTTCTTGTAGGAACACAAAGAATCACAGCTGCTTTTCTTTGTCTTACTAAGTTCATATCCAGTACGTCCAGTACTGTAAGTTCATATCCAGTATTTAGAGCAGTAAAGAGCCAAATCACCTGTGGGGGCAAATCCTGAAAATGAGAACTATTCACAGTCTGTGGATACTTAACAGTTAATCGTGGTGTTTTATAATTTGAGTACTTCGGCTCTTCTCATACTTGTGCCTTTGCCCCAGAACACACCAGCTGGACTTTATAGTAGCACATGATATAATGGTTTGAAAAATGACAAGCAGTGTAACATTTCGTCCCAAACCTCCCGAAGAGTTGTTTCCATATTGAATACAAAGAGAAGTCCTTTCTTCCTAGTAAAAAAGATATAGCAAACAATTTTATTACACTACTCTGGTAGATGTTGCCTATCATGGGAAAAGAATTGCTTTGCTAACTGCCAAAGCTTTAAGTCCAATTTTGAAAAGATGGAAGTAAGTATCATGTTTCATTTATACAGAAATGATGCCAAGGCACTTTCTGACTTTTCACGCCTCTTCAGGATTCTGTTCTGTGCCTACCAGTAAATTTATCAGGGCTCTGCAAACAGAGAATACAGGAATAGCACTGAATACTGATGAGAGAAAAAAGGTTGGGATCAGTGGTTCACAGATGATCTTCAGTTGCCTGTAACACGTATGGATTGTTGTATGTACATTAGAGAATATATACAAAAAAACTATTGAAAGCTATTTTCTGACCTGCCTGCCTCACCATATTTTGCTCCTCATGACTAAATTGTTCATTCAAGCAAGTCCACTTCATTTATTTCTTTAAACAATAGTTGGAGATGTTCATACAGAAAACTCTAGGCACCCACAGAGTTAACTAGGTCCAGAATTGTAAATTATGGCCACCCAGCAGCAAAAAATCATATACAAATAATGAATCAACTTGGTAAACCAGTAAATCAAATCCATAAAAACTTACCCAAGGGTTCTACAACATAACACCAAGTATTCTGTATAGCTATACACAGACGTATTCTAAGACCATATTTTATATAACTGTGCGTGTTGTGTGTGCGTGTGTAAATTTCTGTATGTATAAATCCATACCCATCTGACTGTGTTAAGAAATATTTTTATATATGTGGGTGATTCATTTACTTTTCACAGAAATGTGCCATGAAATATGAGAAAGAATGAAGCCATGAGAGAAATGCTTGGGAAATCCAAATATAAAAGTGACCAGCATATTTTTAAAATTTATTTTAGCTCCTAGCTTAATTCTATTTAATAAATTAAATCTGCTATGTTGCAAAATAATTCTAAAGCAAACTTAAATTCATAAGAAAATGAAATTTAGACTGCCGAGTGAAACTGACCTCTGTTTGTATAGCTAGGGTTTCTGTATGTGCATATCACAAATTTGATATATTTCAGTCTTCTACAGTACAGTATACATTTTATTTATATTTTATTTATATGAAATGTGACAGGCATGTGATATTAACTTGTCAGACGTTTTTTTCTTTAAAAGAGTACCATCTTATCATAAATGACAATAAAACCATTAAAGAACAAGGCAGGTATGGGCAATTGTAATTAATAGTGTCACCAATAGTAGATACAAGTAAAATTGAGCTTTTATCTCCTGGGAAACAGAGTTTACTCATTTCCCTCCATGCAGTCTAGCATCCCAAAACAGATTAGCATATGACTTATCACTGCAGCATTAACTGTAAGGCAATGGAATGTTAGCAACAGAAGACAACTTTGCAATTTTAACGAAGTTGAGTAAAAAAAGAGCCAATGAATACCTATCTTAAACTTTTATTTAAAAATGCCTAGTTGCTCCAAACCTTATGAATACCTTGTATTCTTCCCTACCTATTATAGCATGCTTAAATGTCAGACACTACACATCAAAACGAGTTTGGAATAGGTCTTCAACAATGATGAAAGTTTGTTCTTTCAACTTCAAAGCTTAGACAGAGGAGTCTGTCCTGCATTCGGTTCCATTCTCTGGGACCCCAGGAAGGTACATGCTGCCTCCTCCAGATCAAACACACAAAAAATTCTGTTTGAAAGAAGTTTAAAACATACTTTCAAGTGGTCTTCCTGTGCCGTAAATCTGTCATGACAAAGTGCAAGTCAATGGTTCCCCCCTACCATACAGACCAACAAAACAGTCTTGCAATAACGCCAGGCTTGAAGGTAGAGTCTATAAAGGGTGGTGCAAAATGCATAGGAAGATAGCTTTACTTAAAAAGAAAGAGCATTTAAGGTAGATAAAATGACAATAGATCAAGCTGCTGTTTCTGGCACCCCTGCCAATCTGGCCAGGACACACCAGAGTCACAATCAGATTCAAGTTTGCCTTCTCCTCTTTTATGGCCTCATTATTAATGGCTATATCCACAAGAAGATGGATATCTACAAAGACTTAAGGGTTATCTGTGTCCTGAATTGTTTGTTGACTTCAGAGGCAGATGAGCATTATTCAGCCCTTGGCATTATCACAAGACACCAAACATCAGAATTACCACACGTGTTTGATACTTCATCCAACTAACAAGATAGCTGAAAAAGCCAAGATATATTCAGAATGTCATTAATCAATTTCAGAAAAATTCATAC